TATATAAGTTACAGTGTGAAGAGTACATGGTTAAATTCTAAGATGAAGGAGAAAAATGATAACTATTCTGAGAATTCAAAGAAAGGGAGAACTGGGAGGTGAGGTGACTAGGGAAGGTCTTCATTAGTCAGTGAGTCCTTATTGGACCCAGATGACTGGGTGAGATTGGATGGGCTGAGAGAAGGTAGAAGGGTTTTCTTGGTATAGGAAAGAGAATTCTCAAAGTCAAAGTTTGGGGAGGGAAACAATTCTGATGAAAGTGTTAGTCCTTATTTTAGTATTCTAATCTTGCAGCTGCTCTAGATTTTCTAAACATTTTAAGGGAGTGAGCCATGAAGTTATTTGATGGAAGAGAATGTTCCAGCCAGAGGGAAAAGCAAGTAGAAGACCCCTGAGAAGGAGACTTGTTTAGAGTTCTTGAAGTAACAAAGAGAGGCCGGAGTGGCTGGAGCAGATTGCGCATTGGGGAGAGGGAAGGAGGTGAGGTCTGAGTAACAGGGGCCCACATTGCTTAGAGCCTGCAGGCCATTGTAAAGGACTTCAGCTTTTTCTCTGAGTATGATGGGGAGGCACTGCAGGATTTTGATCCAAGGAGTAACCAGATCTGTCTTGGATTTTGAAAAGGTCACCCCAACTGCTGAGAGAATAAACTGTAGTGGGACAAAGATGGAAGAGGGGAGGCCGCTTAGGAGGCTGTTGTAATCATCTAGGTGAAAGATGATGATTTCTTGGACCACCAAGGAGGTGGTAGTAGTGTTCAGAGTCTGTGTGTTTTGAAGATAGAAGCAAGATAGGTATTGAATTGAATGTAGGGTGTGGGAAAAGAGGATTCAATGATGAATTTAAGGTTTTGGCCTGAAGGGATAGAGTCATCATCTGTTGAGATGCGGATGATTCTGAGGGGGAGGTTGAGGGATAAGTAGCCAAGACTTTAGTTTTGACAGCAGTTGAATGGGCAGTTGGGTGTATGAGTTTGGAATTCAAGGAGAAGGTCTGGGCTGGAGATAAAAATTCGGGAGTCACCAGTGTATATAGATCCTTTTATAGCCATGAGACTGGGTGAGATTACCTAATGGGAAGAGTTCTGAGAACTGAGCCTTGGCAACATTTTGAGGTTTTGAGAGATGAGAAGGAAACAGCAAAAGAAACCCACAAGAGTGGCCAGAGAGATTAGGAGGAAAATCAAGAGTGGGTGGTGTCTTGGGAGTCAAGGAAGAGGGGGTTTGAAGAAGGAATTTATCAACTGGGTCAAATAATACTGATTGAACAAGAAGTGAGGGCTGAGACTTTACTATTGGAGTTAGCAACTGGGAGGTCTTAGGTGATCTTAACAAGAATGAAAGGAGGCAAAGCCCTATCTGAGTAGGTTCAGTAGGGAGTGAGAGGACAGAACTAGGAGATGGCAGTGAGCGTGATTAATGTTTAAGGGAGTTTTGCTGTAAATGGGAGCATAGACCTGGGACAATAACTAGAGAAGGATACGGAATGAAGGGGGGCTTTTTTTTTTTAAAGATAGAAGAAACAAAATGACCTAGTAATGAGGAAAAATTGATGCTTCTTGAGAGTAAGGGGGGAAGTGCCAAGGGGAGAAGAGGGTAAGGTTAAGAGAGGTGGGGGCAAGAGGGATGATTGTAATTGGGGCCTAAAGGACTACATTGCATTAGGCAGGATTCTGCTTTTTCTTCTGAGCACTTATTTGCATTTAAATGTATTTCATACTTACTATACTTTCTGTTTAGAAGTTAGGAAGTATTTATAAAAAGCAGTAAAACTTACTGTATATAAAATAGTGTATCAGCTTGGTATAGTAGAAAAAGAAGAGATTGAATCTTCTGTGTAAGGTGACATTTTAAAGTGTCTTCGAATGACAATTATCTGTGCTATTCTAGTCCCTTATCAAAATTTATGATTGAGCATACACTATAAACTTAATCGTTTGAAATTTGTAGTGGGATGAGTTTTAGTCTGATTCAAAACATGATCTACTGTTGAACATTTTATTTTCTTTGCAAAATTTGTTTGTTTAATATATATTATTCATGTAACAGAGGTTTTAGATATTACGTTAAAGGTAATTAAGAAGTAGTTATTAATCACCTTTGATTTATTGGTGATATTTTAAATTTTACAATTAGATCATAAATCTGAATGATTCATTTCTTTACCATTTCTAAGTCAAGCATATATCTTTGAGGATCTGAAGAGGTGAACAACCTTAAATTTGCAAAAAATCAGGTGAAGTTATGTTAACAAGATAATATCTCTAAAGCAAAAATAGTTTCATTCACTCCAATGTATATATTTTGAATGTATTTTTCAAGAACATATCTATATTTAAAAACTTAAGCAAATATTACAATTTTGAACTACTTTAGCTAAAAGTGTGAGTTGTATGTGGGAAACAAAGTAAGTGGACTTTCAGTCAGCTGAACATGAAAAAAGCAGTTTTGCACTTCAGACTTGGGTAGTGCTAAAAGTAAAATATTACATATAAATCTTTTTTGCTGCAAATTTATTCTTACTAAATTATAGAAATAAAATACTTGCTTTTCCTTTTTTTTAAATCGATTTCCAAATAGTAGTCAATTAATAATCATTCTTCAGAAGAAACACACTGGTAGTTCCGATGCAGAGTTTAAGAAATCACTCATCTGAAAAAATAGTTTACTCTTTTGGGGTACCTGAACCTCTTTCTGAATGTTATTAAACCTCAGATCCTTTTGCCAGATTTTCCGTACATACAGAATTTAGCATATAGTGTTATCGAGTTGCCAGATGCCTCCGAAGCCCATTCCCAGGGATCCCTCAGGCATAAAGGATCTCAGGCTTTAAAACTTGCCCTAGATAGCTTACTTATATGATTTTTCTTTAAACATCGTATGCAGACTTTTCCAAAAATATTTGGCCAGTATTTACTGTAGTTTGTTTCTTAGAAGAGTAACTGCTACAGCTGGTTAAGAGGAAGTGAAGTCTAGTGGAAAGACAGCCAGCTCAGTCAGAAAAATCTCAGGGTCTGTAAGCTTTGCTCCAGCTTTACCACCAGCTAGCTGTGTGACTTTCGGGGAAGTCACCGAACTTTTCAAGCTTTGATTTCCTGGGTGATTCTGCAGTCCCTGCAAGCAGTTTCACAATATCGTGGTAACATTCTTTACCAATTCAGGATTGACTCTGCTACTGCTTTTTGGAGAAATGTCCTGGAGATAAGGTGTTCATCCTTTGTGCCTTTTTACCGAATATGACTTTTAAAAGGAGTTATGTCACTATACTTTTTCAAATGCCATATAAATGAAAGTTAAAATCTCAACCCTATCTGATCACCTCGAGCATAAATATGTTTTATATATTCTGGGTATAAACCATTATATGTGTTGCAGTATCATCCACAGTTCTGTGACTTGCTTTTTCATTCTCAATGTTTTTTGGATGAAAAGTTCTTAATTTTAATTTAGTTCAAATTCTTTTCTTTTCATTATGTTTTAAATGGTGATATTTAACTTCTTAACTGTTTTTGTCCAAAGTCATTCACTTGAAAAATAATGTTTGGAAGATTGATGCATAAGAAATTATCCCCAGAATGAAAAAGCTAACAAGAGAACAGACCTGCAACAGAGAGTTAAGGGTCCACTCAGTGAATTCATTCATTTAACAGATATTTACTGAGCATTTGCTATGTGCATGGTGCTGGTTTGAGTGCTACAGAGTCCTGTAGGTACCCATAATGTTAAGAATCCACTTTTTAAAACTGAGATGATATTGACATATAACATTGTATTAGTTTTAGATACACAAATAATTATTTGATATATGTGAGTATTGTGAAGTGATTACTCAAGTAAGTTTAGTTAATATCCATCACCATACATAGTTACAAATTTTTTGTTTCCTTGCGAGAATCCACTTTTTAATAACCATATTATTCTACCGATTTTTGTATGATTTTTCTTTTGGTTAGTAGTCATTCCAGTCTTGGTGATTGGAATTGCCATTTATATGGACTGGAGAACTTTAAAAAGTATTGCTACTAAAGGAAAGACACGATAAAACAGCAACTTGAAAGTTTTTTGGAAAGTAATGTTAACTGCATGAATTGGGGTTATTTTACTATGTTTGGTATGACTGTACAGGATTAAACAAAAATTTATAACCTGGATGACATAAAGATTTTTCAAAATATCCCTTGAAGAAATGAGAACACTGTTGGAGTAACATCAGTCAACAAACGTACTGTATTTAAAGTATAAGGAAGATACGTATAGGTTTAGAGGAAGAGGCAGCGTTGATTGGTTGCCTCTCACACGCCCCCAACCTGGCTCCTGGCCTGCAACACAAGCCTGTGCTTTGACTCAGAATTGAACCAGCGACCTTTCAGTTTGTAGATCAGTGCCTACCCAACCCACTAAGCCACACCAGTCAGTGTGGGAAAGTCACTTTTGTGTTACATGGTTTACAATCTAAAATGGTGAGACTTTGAGAATGTGAATGAAAAGTTTAATTAAAATTATGACCATACGTATAAAATGCTGTGAACTTTAAAAGCCTTATATAAGACAAATCCATTTCAAGATTAATTGAAAAAAGGGTTTTTAAGTAGACCAAACTAAGGACCCATGATGTTAACTCAATTTGTTAATATCAAGTAACAAACAAGGAAGGTCATTGTTTGGGATGAGAGTATATTTGTATGTTGTTTAGATGAGGTGCATTTCATTTCTGTGTGTTTCTTAGGAAAGGAAAATCATCAAAACTCCTTGTCTTAAAAAAAACTATGGAAAAGTAAAAAAACTGGAAAACCAGAGATTTAACATGTGAATTCATTCCTTGCTCTAAAAACTACCTATCTCTTTCTTTCTTTCTTTTGAGTTTTAGCACTTTGGAGATTTTTTTGTGTTTTGTTGTTTTCTTCTTAAGATCAGATAGAAATCTTTCAGTCTTCAGCTTTTGATGACACGTCATAAATCTGTGTTTGTAGTCTAATTCCATTTCCCCTCTTTCTCTTGTAGGGAACAAGAGTGCTGAAGGAGGGCCAGTTTCCCCAAAATCGGTGAGTACTTTTACCAGGCAGGCATAATGTGCCTGATGCTAGTTGTTCAGTGAATTTTTGCAAAAAAGCTCTCTGCCCAGATATGAGGCTTTGCTGTTTGCACCAAGTGAGAGTGAATTTTTGTCTAATTTCACATAGCTATATCTCAAATGCATTTGTGTTTCTAATAATACTGCTAGGCTTGCATGTTCCTGCATTCGATAACCTGTTAAAATGTAAAGGTCCCCTTTGCCAAAAATGTCCTTAATGCAGTGGATAGAGCTGAAAATTCAGAAGTCAGGAAATTCAAAAGTTAAGGTTCCCGTTGTGTTTTGTATTACTTAATATGCTATTAAATTTGATGGCCTTAGTATATGTGCAAAATGGCTAGGTTAATGTAACTGTGGGAACCTTGACTTTGAAATTTGGGACTTGTAAGCATTTATATTCTTAAATTTAATGTTGGATTGGCTTAATGTCTGATACTACATTTTTAGTGTGTGTTGTTTTGTATAATTCTTAAAGAGGAAAAAATAGAAAGAAATGTAGCAGTGTGGGGCATATAGGCAAACATTTTTTCTCTAATATCTACTTTAAAATCTACTTTAACAGCTTATAAATCATCACACTTAATCATTTCTTTGAATGTCTAATTCAAGATCACAGATTGCACAGGGCAGTCTAGTAACAAAGGATCAAACAAATATTTAACCTTATGTGGAGAGCATGTATAATGATAAAAAATTAAATTCCAGCAAGATAGCTGGTACAGCATAGTCCCCTAATGCAAAACTATTCTTTTTGTTTTTTAGTTTTTTAATTCTCTCTCTTAAATAGTAATGAACTTAATGTGTGGAGTAGATACTTGGTTAAGGCTTCTATTTGAAAACTTGAGGTGTCTTTCTTATCTTATAGTGATTGGGCTTTGAACATGAAAGAGAGGCATTTGAACCAGTTAACTTTGCATTTACTACCTTTTTATTCTATTTGCCTTTCTCTCATGGAACTTTTTTAAATAAATGATCAAGACCCAGCAGCCCTTTACTCTAAAATGTGATTGAATCATTGCATCTTAGAGAAGGGACTTTAAGGGCCTTCTCTTCCAGCCTTTTATCTGATGTAAAAGGCATTTTTTTCCCTATATCCCTAACAGATTGTTATTTGGGTACATATTGACTACTACATTTTAAAAAATGTAGCGCATTATTTTCAATAATGTATTTTGAGGAAATCTAGGTCCACAGAAATGAATCAATATTACTGAGGTTGGGCGGGGGTGGGAAAAATGTCTGTGGTCAAATAATTTGGGAAATGCTGCATTAAAGTTAAACAGGTTTCTTTACTGCAGGACTTCTCAGAACCTTTAATATGCTAATGTGCATTGTGAGTCTCCAAGAGGGGGATATGATATGCAGCATTCTTGAATACTTCTAATGACAGGGAGCCCACTACCTCATAAGGTAACCCATTCCTTTTTTGTACAGCTCTAATCCTTAGCTCTTCCTTAAATTGATCTGAAATCTATCTCCCATAACTTCTGCTTCTACTAAATACTTACTGGTTATGCCAAGACCACCATACCCTCTGTGTTAACTTTTGTGTAGTAAATATGCATATGATCCTGGCCACGCTTGTCTGGACTTTTTTTTTTTTTTTATGATTAAATAGTGTTCTGGTAAACGGGGGAACTAGTTCTAAAATCTTGGCCTCATTTTCACTATGCTCTTATACACTACTCTCCAGCCTCTTTCATTTTGAGTTTCTGTGCGATTTTTAATTCAGCTCAACATTCTGATTATCAAGTATAGTTGAGATGATTTTGGTAAACACGCTTGATTTCTATAAAGAAAGGTGGGCAATAGAAGGATGTATGTGTTCAGTTTAGGCCTGGGCCCAGGAAGCTGAGGTAGAAACCGGGGGTTAGAATGAGCAGTGGTTGGAGGGAGGGGTGAAGACACTGCAGGCAGACCTGTGAGGGGAGGACGCTGCGGGGGCCTGGCCTGGCCTGGCCCGAAACCCCCATCCTTTTCTTGGAACCGTATGACCTGTGAAGGTATTCCTTATTTTTTTTTTAAATAAGGATTCCCCCTGAAATAAAACAGAAATGATATATATTTTATATTCAAATACATTCAGACATTCAGATATCATAAATCTGGGGGTGTAGAAATTTAATGGAATGGTTAGGAAACATCATTTGCACTGGCTGCAGTGATTCTGTCAGCAGTTAATAATACCAGGGTTTGAGCACGGTCGCCTTGCCACATGTGAATGTGAGTCTCTCGAGCAGGAGTGCCCAGCTTGTGGCCCCGGGGGCGTATTTTGTTGACATGGAGGAGTGTCACTGAAGAGCCCCCGCCACAAAAGTAAAAAAAAAGACATTATATTTTCTGTCATTTTTTTATTGATTCATGTTAGTTTTCAGTAAGTGTTACTAAAAGAATTTTATTATTTTTAGCATCCATGATAATTTTTAGCACTGTTAGTTAAAAGTTAAAGATACTGTTTTATCTCTTAGCATGTTACATACATGCTATTTTGCACAAATTGAAACCTCATATTTTAGTATTAGGCAGGTGACAAGTAAGGATACATGGATCTGTCAAGATTTTCTACTTTCTTATATTAAAAGTATTAACTGTACCTACTCAAACACTATGCTGAGAATATGGGTCAAAGGTGGAGCCTTACACCAATTAACTGCAGCACAGCGGACACAGAGCTGGCCGTTTGAGGGCTTCAGTCTGGGGGCACAATGTGTTACGAACCTACTGTTAAAGAAACTCGGTTAACGGGTTGAGTTTTGATTTGGAAAAAGGTTTATAGCAGTTCAGAAACAGAGCAGTGTTTCTTAGCAGTAAATTCAGAGTTATAGCATTACTAAGTTATTAGAATCATGATGAAAGACCTAGAGGTCACATATCTCCAAGCAGAACTACACCCAGAAAAAAAGTTAGAAACTCCTTCTTAGAGAATTTCGAAGTAGGAAAGCCCGTGGTCCCCTCAGCAGTATACTGTGTGGGGACGTAAAGTTTGTGTGTATGAATACAAGCATTATGTTAGGAGTAACGTAGAACTTTATAGTTGACAAAGGGCTTTTCATACGGTATTTACCTTACTTAAACCTCATAACAGTTTTATGAAGTAGGTGATACTGTTCCCATTTTCCTGATTTATAAGCAAACATACAAATTTTAAAAACTCTGAGGCTGAGAGTGGTAACACAGTGAGTAAGTGGAGTCAGGTTTTTTGATTTGGGGGACAGAAGTTCTTCCCAGAGCTCAGTGCTGCCTGCCTTAATGGGATTTGATTATTGTTTTCGCTTGGTTGCTTGGAGTTTTTATTTGTTTATGTTTTGGTTTTTTGTTGTTAGAAGGTGAGAGGCCATTAGCTGTCCCAGTGGTTTGACATGTATAGTTTTGAAATAACAGACATTGGTATTTTGTCCATCCTTTCTGATGGTAGTATTTAGGGCTGTTGGGTGGTGAACAGGCATTGTCCCTCAGTACAGTGTGTCTATTACTGTTTTGTGTATCTGTTTATATTTACTATACAACAACTGATTTATTTATAACTTATTAGAGTTGGTCAGAATTTGATAAATAACTTTTTTTTACAGATTTAGCAAATCATGCCTTCTTTATGATGCTATGAACTACACCCAAATGGTCTTCATGTGATGGCTTCAGGAGTTGTCTGAGCCCCCCAAATATTTTTAAAAAGGATTCAACATGTTCTTGCTTTGGTTTTAGATGCTATAAATGTGTGTATATAATGTGTTCCTTTAGGGAGAGACCAGTCTTATAAAATTGCTATCCAGTAAGAGACCTTTATGAAAAATTATATCAAATGAATCTTCTAATCCTCCATAAGTTTTTGTATAACAATTTACTACCGTTTTTAACCCGTCTTTTAAATGTTTTATTTTGAAATAAAAGGAGTAACTGGCATTTGGAGTTCTTGCCAAATTAAATCTGTGTCTTTGTGTGTCTCTAATAAGTAGACAACGATCTGATGAAGGAAGTAAAAGCCGTCAGCTCCTTGTTAACTTGAGTTGCAGGCTTTTTATCCTGCCAGGCACGCTTGGACTTTTAGAGCCTCCGGGTTAAACCTTGGTTTTACTTCTTCTTTTCCCGACCATTTCGTTTCATCAGCATAACATTTTCTGATGCTTTATCTAGCAACCTTCAATTAATTTTTTGTTATTTAAAAATACTTGTTTTCTATGGAAATTTTTGAAACATCGATACCGTGGAAAGAAGAAAGTAAAAAACCCTTAGTGTTACCCCTGAGAGATAACCAGTGGCAAGGTATGGAAGTGCCACCTGACCCACACTAAGGCAGCTCGTGGTGTTACTATTTTTATAACTCTTTGTCAGTGTGAGGGACAAAACTTATCTTAAAATTTACATTTCTATGGCTATGTTTTTCATTTATGTTTGCTGGTGATTTTTATTTCTTCAGTGAATTGCTTTTTTGTAGTTTTGAAACTTGTGAGCACTCTCTTTGTTGTTTATAGTCTAAGTTCTCCATGTTTTTAACCTGCTGTTTGTTTCCATAGTTGATACGAGTTGAGTTGAGCTATGACGTTAATATGTTACGACCAGTAAAATAAAATATGGCCTTTCTGGTGTTGAAAATACCCCTTTAACTTCAAGGTGATTCTTAATTTGACAAATACTGAAACAAATAATTTTTGGACACATTTACTGCTAAATTAAAACTAATTCAGGTACTGTTTTCAGAAAGAACTCTAGTGCATAAGTCAAGAATTGTAGTAGAAAGATGATTTTAGTATTTAAAATTAAAGTGACTATAGTTTTAACCTGTGAGTTTGTAAGTAACGTAATCGTACATGACAACAAAAACCTTGGTCTAAATTAGTAACTTAATGAGTCTCATGTTTATTTATTATACTTCCAAAGATTTTCTAAGGTAATAAGTAGCTGAAAAACCCAGGTTTGTTTATTAAAATATGTCTTCTTTGCCAGTTATATCCCCTAAACATACTATCTCCATGACATTTTTTGGTTGATAATATTGTACAATAATCCTTTCCTAGCCTCCACAAATGTGAATTTGAAGAAATTTTACATTTTAGAAAATTTTTTTTAGGGTAGAATATTTTGATACTATGAAACAGTATACAAACACTAGGGGAAAGATTGCCAGTAGTGATGTTTTAGGGCTAGTGAGGTTAATTAAGGAAATATAATGAAAACTAATACTGACCAGTCAAGATGGAGGTGTAGATAGACACGCTTCACCTCCTTGTGCAACCACGAAAAAGGAACTACAACTGAATCTCAAAACAAGTAATACCCAAACTGTCAGAAAATTGAACTGTGTGAAAGTCCAACAGTGAAGGATTTAAAGAAGCCACATTTGTCCAGACAGGAGAGGTGGAGGAGAGGTGGAGGAGAGGAGACACGGCGTGGCGCCGAGAGGCAGCAGCGGTGGTGGGGCAGGAACAGGCTGTCCCGCGTTCATGTGTGCTGGATCAAAACCAGGAGGGACATTGTGAAAGCAAGTGATCCCAGCCCCAGACTACACAGCCCAGGGTTCCAGCACTGGAAAAATAAATTCCCACAGCTTCTGGCTATAAAAACTAGTGGGGATTGGGGTGATGGAAGAAACTGCCAGATTTTCAGGGAACTTCACTTAAAAGGCCCTACAAGGTCTTAAAACATATACAAACCCACTGACCCTAGGATTCAGCACCAGGGCAACAGCTGGAAGGACGCCATTCACATATGGGGACTGGGTAAAGTGACTGGAAACAGGGTGAGTGCTGGGCAAATCCCCAGAAGTCAAGCAGTGGCACAATCCCCTCTCTAAGCCTCAGTTCCCTCACACACAGCCACAAGCAGTGAAGCAGGTTTCCTCCCCTGACAATTACCTAAGACACCACTCCACACCATTTACAGGTGCCTTTACAGGGAGTCGAAGCAGCTGCACCTAGTATGCAGAAACAAACACAGGAAGGCTGCCAAATTGAGGAGACAAAGAAATATGACCCAAATGAAAGAACAGAACAAACCCCCAGAAAAAGAACTAAACCAAACAGAGGTAACCAGCCTGTCAGATGCAGAGTTCAAAACACTGGTGATCAGGATACTCAAAGAACTTACTGAGTACAGCAGCAACATAAAGGAAGAAAGGAGGGTTACGCTAAGTGAAATAAAGAGAAATCTGCCCTGGCTGGTGTGACTCAGTGGATTGAGTTCCAGCCTGCCAACCAAAGGGTCACTAATTCAATTCCCAGTCTAGGACACATGCCTGGGTTGTGGGCCAGGTCCCCAGTGTGGGGCACATGAAAGGGAAGCATACATTGATGTTCCCCTCTCTTACTCCTCCTTCCCCCTTTAAAAGGAAATAAATAAAATCTAAAAAAAAAAGCATTAAAAAGAAGAAGAAGAAGAAGAAGAAAAATCTACAGGGAAACAACAGTGAAGGAGGAAGGAAGCCAGGATGCAAATCAATGATTTGGAACATAAGGAAGAAATAAACATTCAACCACAATGGCAAGAAGAAACAAGAATTTTAAAAAATGAACATAGTATAAGAAGCCTCTGGGACATCTCCAAATGTGCCAACATCCACATCATAGGGCTGCCAGAAGGGAAAGAGGAAGAACAAGAAATTGAAAACTTACTTGATAAAATAATGACTGAAAACTTCCCTAATTTGGCAAAGAAAGTAGACATACAAGTCCAGGAAGCACAGTGTGTCCCAATTAAGTTGGACTCAAAGAGGACCACACCAAGACACCATAATTAAAATGCCAAAGGTAAAAGATAAGAGAGAATTTTAAAAGCAGCAAGAGAAAAGCAGAGAGTTACTTACTATAAAGGAGTTCCCAAAGACTGTCCCAAAGACTGCTGATTTCTCAAACCTTACAGGTAAGAAGGGACTGGCAAGAAGTATTCAAAGTGATGAAAAGCAAGGACCTACATCCAAGATTACTGTATCCAGCAGAGCTATCATTTATTACGCAAGAGCAGATAAAGTGCTTCCCAGACAAGGTAAAGCTAAAGGAATTCATCATCACCAAGCCCTTATTATATGAAATGTTAAAGGGACTTATTTAAGGAAAAAAAAAGATAAAAACTATGAACATTAAACAGGCAACAAATTCATAGCTATCAACAACTGAATCTAAAAAAAAGAAAAGAAACGAAAATGAGCACACAGGACTTCTGGCCAAGATGTAGGTGTGGGTAGACACACTTTGCCTCCTCCCACAACCAAAAGAAAGACGACAACAAATTCAAAAACAAAAACCAACCAGAACTGCCAGAAAATCGAACTGTATGGAAGTCTGACAACCAAAGAGTAAAAGATGAAACATTCATTGAGACTGGTAGGAGGGGCAAAGACGGGCAGCCAGGGTAGAGAGGACTTGTGGCAAGGCAGTCCCACATTTGTGTCCAGATGAACTGGGTGGAACAACTGCGGAGCAAGACAGATCTTGCAACCTAGGGTCCCAGCACAGGGAAATAAAACCTCAAAACCTCGGGCTTTAGAATCTGTGGGGGTTGCGGTGGCAGGAGGTACTCCTATCCTCACTGGAGAGCTGTCGGAGAGACCTATAGGGTCCTAGAATGTATACAAACCCACCTACCTGGGAATCAGCACCAGAAGGGCCCAATTTGTTTGTGGGTGGAGGGGAAGTGACTGAAGGCCAGCAGAGAGCCAAGCAAGCAGCACTGTCCCCTCTCGGACCCCTCCCTCACATACAGCAGCACAATGCAGGGAGGCGGGTTGCCCCGCCCTGGTGAATACCTAAGGCTCTGTCTCATACAACGTAACAGGCACCCCAAGACAAAAAAATATGGCCCAAATGAAAGAACAGATCAAAGCTCCAAAAAAATAGAACTAAGAAATGAAGAGATAGCTAACCTATCAGATGCAGAGTTCAAAACACTGGTAATCAGGATGCTCACAGAAGTGGTTGAGTATGGTTGCAAAATAGAGGAAAAAGTGAAGGCTATGCAAAATGAAATAAAGAAAAACAGACAGGGATCCAACAGTGAAGGAAAGGAAACCAGGACTCAAATCACAGACTTGGAGCAGAAGAAAGAAATAAACATTCAACCAGAACAGAGTGAATAAACAAGAATTTAAAAAAAAAAATGAAGACAGGCTTAGGAATCTCTGGGACAACTTTAAATGTTCTAACATCCAAATAATAGAGGTGCCAGAAGGAGGTGAGGAAGAGTAAGAAATGGAAAACTTATTTGAAAAAATAATGGAGACCTTCCCCAATCTGGCAAAGGAAATAGACTTCCAGGGAGTCCAGGAGGCTCAGAGAGGCCCAAAGAAGTTGGACCCAAGGAAGTACACACCAAGGCATGTCATAATTGCATTACCCAAGATTAAAGATAAGGAGAGAATCTTAAAAGCAGAAGAAAAAAAGGAGCCAGTGACCTACAAAGGAGTTCTGGTAAGACTATCTGCTGATTCCTCAAAAGAAACCTTTCAGGCAAGAAGGGGCTGGAAGGAAGTATTTGAGGTCTTGAAAGGCAAGGACTTACATCCAAGATTACTCTATCCAGCAAAGGTATCATTTAGAATGGAAGAGCGGATAAAGTGCTGCCCAGATAAGGTAAAGTTAAAGGAGTTCACCATCACCAAGCCCTTATTATATGACATGTTAAAGGGATTTATCTAAGAAAAAGAAGATGGTCAAAACTGTGAACAGTAAAATGACAACAAACTTATAACTGTCAACAACTGAACCTACAAAAAACTAAGACGATTAGAACAGGAACAGAATCACAGAAATGAAGATCACATGGAGGGTTATCAATGGGGAGGGAGAGAAAGGAGAATGGGAAAAATGGTACAGGGAATAAGAAGCATAAATGGTAGGTACAAAATAGACAGGGGGAGGTTAAGAATAGTACAGGAAATGGAGAAGCCAAATAACTTATATGTACGACCCATAGATATGAACTAAGTGAGGGAACGCTGGTGGGAGTGGGGTGCAGAGCAGTGGGGGGTAAAGAGGAGGGAAAAAATAGGATAACTGTAATAGCATTATCAATAAAATATACTTTAAAAAAAGAAACTAAGCACACCACCAGAACAAGAATGGGATCATAGAAATGGAGATCATTTGGAGGGTTCATTGAGGTGGGGGAAGGGGGAAAATGGGGGAAAAGGTACAGGGATCAAAACACATAATTAGTAGGTACAAAATAGACGAGGGGATGTTAAGAATAGTATACGAAATGCAGAAACTAAAGGATTTATATGCATGACTCATGGACATGAACTAAGGGGGGCATTGCTGGAAGGAAGGAGGTAATGGACAGCGGGGGGCAAAGGGGGAAAATTGGGACAATTATAATGATGCAATCAATAAAATATACTTTAAAAAAGAACTAATATTGACAAATATATTCTGCAGTTAATGATTTTATTATAACTGTCAAATTAGGTTTAAAGGAGTGTTAAGAAAACTTAGGTTGACTATGGACTTTGTCCATAGGTAAATAATTTTTAGAAAGTGTAGAGTATGAATCTCATTGTCTTGTTTTAAGGAGTAGTGATTCTTTTAGCTTTTGATTGTTCCCTTTGTTGGTTTGTAAGAATGCTGAAAAGTTGTTCTTACTATAAGTTTTACAGGTATGGAGATGGAATGTTTAAATTTATTCACACATTAACAAACTTTTCTTTGTGAGTTTGAAGGAATTTTACACTTTCAAAATTGACTGTTTTTTAGGTTAAGCATATTTTGATACAAGAAAAAAGGAAAATGTTAGAAGAGAAATTAACCATCGAGTTAGTTTAAATTGCAGTAGTGATGGGCGGAGCAGGATAGGAGAGTTCTCATTCACAAAATGTAGACTTTTGACATTATTTCCACGTGCGGATGGTTATACACATAGCCAAAGAGATGCCCTGGCGGCCTTGAGAAGGAGGAGGTGTTCGTTGTAAAGCTGGAAACCGTCTGTTCCATTGCTAGACCACCTCATCTCTTGTGTACAATAAATTTATTTTTAATTGCCCTTTCATAACTTTGTGGAGGGCACAGTTACATTGCCTTGTTTTAAGTATTGATTTGTTAAATGTAAACCTTTAACTTAAACCAGAGTTTTCTCATTTTTAGTTTTAGAATATTTTAAATAAGAGTTAAGAGTTCATCCAATAAAGTACTCTGGCCTTCTGTAACCTCTGAGAGACTCTGAAGTTTCCAGTTCACTCTGTGTGGTGTTTAAAAATGTATGACCCCATTGTTATGTCTCTTTCTAAGGACAGTGTGTCCTGGGTGGTTGTAGTCTCCCCTCTAGATTTCCCACTCATCCAGGGCAGAAGTGGTCTCGTTCAGTGCTGCATCCTCAGCGCATAGTGCACATTGTGGTGCTGAGCACATGGCAGGTGCATAGATGTTTCCGTGACCAGACTAAACACATTTTTTTTCATTGCCTGCTTATTTGAAGTGTTCCATAGAGGAATGCTCAAAGAACAGAAAGTTTTGGTACCAATTCAGTACAACAATTCACTTTGGAAAGAAATCTGTTTGGGAAATTTCTTGCTCTGTGCTAGAGAATCAAAAATTTTTTAACTACTATAATTTATTGTATTTAACATGAATATTTCCTATATACCTAATGTAATGATCCAAAACACTGATTGATCTCTACAGCTGCAGTGAGAAGAGGAGTTTGTTATTTTAAACGGAGGCTGAAGAAACTGTAGAATTAGACATAAGAGAAAGTGGAGAAGGTAGAGGATGGAGTTGCAGACTCTACAGGAAGCTCTTAAAGTGGAAATTCAGGTTCACCAGGTATGTTGCACTATTGGCTTTTCCCACATCATGTTATTAAGTAATGGCTGAGATTAGTAAACAGGCCCTTCTCTGATTTTTAGCACAATTGTTAATCATCTTTCAGACAGATGTCCAGTAGTCATGTCATTTGCCTTTTATCACTACTTAATAAACTCATTGATAATACTTCGGGGAGCTCTAATAAAATATTCCTGGTTTCCTTTTCACAGAGATGAACTAAAAACAGTTTTTGGTATACTAAAGGTATTAAAAAGAAACTTTTTTCTGTTCATCTGAGGGACTTTATTCATGTGATTTATGACTTAACTTGCATATTTTCAATGCAACCTGTTTGACTTAACTACTATGTATACTAAAGTTTTTACACATTCAGTTTTATGCCTTGATGCCTGTTGTTAATGAAGAAAATGTGATTGCCTTCACAGATGTTACATTTCAAATTTCATAATTCTTACATTTTGCCTCAGGTACTTAGGCTAAATAAACCTTTAAAATACAGAAATAAAAATATATTTATGATTATATTTACATGATATAATTATTTTTATAAAATACATTGTACATTAAATATAATTTAAATGCTAAATATGTATGTTTTATTTAACATAACTCTAACCCATACAAAAAGTAATCCTTAAGTAACTAAATCATTAACATTTTTTGTATAAACAGAATATTACTGTTTTATATCTCTTTTCAATACATGAACTGGATGTGGTTCTAGATTTAAGACACACACATAGACATACATAATGTTTGGTTAGTAAAAAGTGACAAATGATGATGAATGGACTGCTTTAGAATGTTCAGGGTGTTGGAATAGGAGAAAAAATATGTTTTAAAGGTGTTTGCTCTTAGGTATAGTTTCCTTAGTTTTATCTGAATAGTCCTTAGCCTATTTGCAAGTTGCTCAGAATTAATGGATGAGACCTTACAGGAAAGCTTCAAAACTTCATGTGTTGAGACACACACACACACACACACACACTCTCTCTCTCTCTCTCTCTCTCTCTCTCTCTCTCTCTCTTTCACATTGAGGCTTTGTGTGTTCAGAAATCCCTGCTGCTTCTGCTGCTTTGGATCTTGTGAAACTCTTGCTCAGCAGTAGTGTCATAGTTTGCCATGTGCAAGCAGCTTCTGTATGTGAACTGTGTTTTGTTTTTATGGTAACTTTAAGAAATGTAGTATATAATAAGTTTTATATATTTAAGTTTAGTATATAAAAAATAAGCACATTTTACTTTATTTGTTCTCACTTCTGTTACAAATTGGGGAGAATAAAAATCTGTTGACAAAAACAAGCTTGTCTTTTTCCTGGATGGAAGTATTTTAACATAGAGGGTGTTGAATGCCCAGTATGGCTGAATGGCAAATGATGACAGTTAAGTTCACAATTTGTTCAAAGTGGACATCATCATAGAACAAATTTCTGGAGAACAGTAATCAGTCTGAAATTTACACGGATGAGAGATCATTTAATGAAGTTGTGTGTGATTGTTGGGGATAATCCTCTTCAACAAATTTGGAGATGGCAGAGTTGACATTTTGCTTTTAGTTCATCCTCACAAAATATGAACAGATTCCAATAAGATTTTCTTGGAAGATTCATGACCTAAATTGAACTAAATTACTAAAAATTAAGTAGAGTGTTAAAATATTTTGTTTCATATTTTAATACAAGCGTACCAGTTTCATGAAAAGTATAATTATGAAAAAATTTAATGCCTATCTCTGTTTTAAAATCTAATTTACATTTAAAATTACATTTGTTGACTCAAAAGGGATATAATATTCTTCATAAAGTTATCCCAGCCACTGTCTTAATATTCACATTAACTGTCTATTTTCTTATATATTTATCTATTTTTAGCATAAAATTAAAGCATTTATATTTATCCTTTATTATATGATATTTTGTTTTTGCAGTAATAAACATTGATATGTTTATTGATAGTATTTTAACATGTAGAAATACTAAGATATTTTTATTCCAGTTACATATAGAATACTTTCTTTTTTTTTTTTAATTAAGTATTAACAGTAGATCCAAGAGACCTGCCTAGTTTGTAAATCTACTGTTATTCTGGTTGGATATGTGGTAACTTACTGATCACCTATTACGACAAGTTCAGGGATGTCAGGAATGACATCAGAGTAGGCTCTGGCTATTAGGCTGGGGCAAAAGCCACCCCCTGGTGCATTTCCAGTTATGGAATGAAGGTAGGGCTGAAATTGAGCTTACTGAATGGAAAGTATGTTACGAAACTACCTGGAATTGCTGTCATAGAGGTATATTTTTGTTCTTTATGGATAGGAAAATGATTTAAAAAGTAGCAGTGTGCACATAGTTGATGTTGAATAAATGTTTATATAATAATGGCCTATGATGGGCATCTCATCTTGTTTTGAGAAATTGCCTTTTTGATGACACTTATGCAGATTTGATGAAAGCCATATTTAAACTTTCAGAGTATTTATTCTACATGGAACCCAACAGTATAAAGCAGAGGTTAGCAAATATTTCCTTTAAAGGGCCAGATAGTAAATTACAATATTTTATACTTTATAAGTAATTTATAATCTCTGTCACAACTACTGTGCTCTGCTGCTCTGCAGGCAAAGCAGCCATAGACAATATATAAGTGAACGGGTGTGGCTGTGTCCCAGTAACACTTTATTCACACAACAGGTAGATGGCCAGATTTGCCTGTGGGTTGTAGTTTGCTGTATTCTTGGAAAAGAAAGTAAGTTGGATAACACAATGTCAGCTTAGAATCACTAAGGTTTGGTTGGTTTAGTTAGGTTGCCCAGCTTGTTCAGTCCTGCCTCTCATGGTGTAAAATGCAGCTTGACTGCTTACAGGTAGAATAGTTTATTTAATTTCCTCAGAGGTGGAGTTTTAGTGTGGTTATGAGTAGTTTTTAAATTCCAGTGTCATGGAAGAAAATCTTTTCAGTTTCAAAAAGGCAACTTCAATATAGTAGGCAACTCTCTGGTAACCAAATCAAAAAGGAAAACCAAAGGTTTTTCTCTTTGAAGAGTGTTGCATCAGTAAAAATGTTTATGTTTAAAACCTTATTCAGTTTCACTGAGCTCTTGGAATCTGTGTTATTACTATTTTGTAATTAACACCAGGATGTACAAGAGTTACTGCTGTCACATGGGAAGTAGAGTATATAGTAAGTAACCTACATACCTTGTGTGGTTAGAGGTCACATGGTTGGCAACCTCAGCTACATAGAATGTAGCTCAGCACCTCAAATAAGGCTTTTGACTAACTAGAATAGATGTTAGAAGTCATTTACCAAAGATTATACAATAAAAGCTGACTTTTTATTTTGGGTTGGTCAAAAAGTCCATTTGGTTTTTTCCTGTAAAATAAAAAACACATTTTTCCTTTTCACCAATAGCTTTATTGATTTGGGTATTTTGAGTATGTCAGTTATCTCCTGCTATTGGCTTCTAGTGGGTAGAGGCCAGGGGTGCTGCTAACCATCTTCCAATGCATAAGACAGCCCCACAGCAAAGAATTATCTGGCCAAAATGTCAAAGTACCAAGAAACTTTGCAAACCACTTTTGACACATTTGATCAGTCACAGCATCCTCTCCATACATTGCACAAATCTGTTTTAGCATTTCATTTGTGTTTTTACCTTTCTTGACATAATAAAGCATAACAGACTGAAAATGTTTCATATTTTCTTCTATCTTCAATATTAAAACGGCTGTACAAAAATTCACCAATTTTAATGAGTTTTTCCTAAATGCACGCTGATAATGACAGCTGTCACAATACAGTCTAACAAAATTTTTTTGAATGAAGTTAAAGACAACAAAACACTACTAGAGTCACTGTACAGGAAAAACTAGATGAACTTTTTGGCCAACCCAATATTTAAGAAGGCAGATAAGTATATAATATATTTGAGAAAGTTTTCATTTTATGACTAAAAAATTTAAAAGTGCCTTGTCACCCAAAGAGAGAGACAGATTTTCAGTTATATGAAAAGTTCACTTATGGAACAGTTTATTCCCAGATAACTTTTAGGACTCAGCTTTCTGATACTCCTTCATCCTTCAGATTCTTGAGCAGTGATGCTTTCAGAAGTTGGGTTAAGATCAGACAATATCCATTTTTTCTTTGTTTTTCATTTTGTTTGGACTTATGTTTTCTTTATTTAGTAAAGGTCTTTCTTAGCATTCTGGTAGCACTCTCCTTCCCAGAGGAACCCAGGTAGGTAGAGTTTTGCGTTATTGTTCCTTCACTTTCTTACTCTCAAATACTGAACATCACTTTTCCACCAGGAACACCCCTGCCTCCCTTCACAGAGAAGGCAGTGGCCAAGTCACAACTGATACTACGCTCCTTCGGCGCTTTGCTGTTGTATATGGGAGCAGCAGCTTTCTGCGCCTAGTTTGGGACTCGAGGCAATTACAACATTTTAAAGAGATGTTTTGCTTTTGGAGCATCCAGCTTGTTTAAATTGCCTTTTTAAACCCCACCCTGATCCCTGTCCCATCTCCAGATTTGTTAAAGCAGGAGCATTTTGCCCTGGCTGATGCAAGTCAGTTGGTTAGAGCCTCGTCCCAGAGACCAAATGTTGTGGGTTCGATTCCTAGGCAGGACTCATACTCAGGTTGCAGGTTTGATCCATGGTCAGGGCACCTATGAGAAGGCCACCAATGTTCTCTCTCACATTGATCTTTCTGTCTCACATCAGTTTTTCTCTCTCTCATTCTCTTTCTCTCCTCCTCCACCCATCCTCTCTCTCTAGAAGCAATGAAGAAAAAATGTCCTCAGGTGAGGATAAAAAAAAAAGCAGGAGCACTTCATTTCAGATATAGAGTGGTAGTTTGATTTTTTTCTTATATTAAGAGGAGTGTCTCATTGACCTTTTATATAGATGACAGAAGTTTTTGATTCTGATTGTGCTGTTGCTCATTTTTTGAGTGTGGGATTAAAACTCTAGATTTTGGGGGCTAAACCGGATTAGCCATATTGAGTTAATGTGTAAACTGATGACTCTTTTTCTCTCTTTATTACCAGAAACTGGTTGCTCAAATGAAGCAGGATCCACAGGTAAAATACTACTTTTATTCACTTAACTTTTAAATTAAAATAATTTATACAGAAATTAACTTTTATTTTAAAATAATTTATTTTAAATTAAAATAATTTAAAATAAAGTGACCATAAAAATATTAAATATATACCAATATTTAGGTATTAAAAATGATCATATCTAACAGCAATTATATTAGCATATTGGTCTTCATGTTATAAGGGTTTAGAAAAACCCAGTCATTTTGTTATAATATATTTATTAGTAGCTATCATTTCATCTTTGTTACTGTTACTTGCTTTTGTGTTAATTGCTTTGAGTATTTTGGGGGGGAATTGAGAATTAATACTCTTCATAGAATTTAAGTTTCATTTTCATAAGCCCACTTACTCAAAATCAGATTGTAAGGCCTTTTGTAGTCTCAAAATTACTGAATATGGCCCAGAACCATTCTTATTTTCTCATAGTTTATAGTAGAGATAGTGTACAGAAGTTTTAAATACTTAATTGCACTATGTTCAGGGTAAGAATTTTAGAATAAGTTTTAAAAAGCATTTAAAATTTTATTATTTTTCAAAGAGCCTTTAACCTAGCAAATGCTACATTTTCTTTAAATTCTCATAGGAGTTTTTTCACTTAGACGTTTTATTCTCTATCCCTGAAGGGAACTCTTCCTAAAAAGTTACTTTGTCTTCGATGACTGTATGTGTTGTTCAGGCAGTGTCTCCTTCACAGCCATTAGACAGTGGGTCATAAGTACGGAGAGTACTTACCAGGCTCTTAGGGCTTCTCCCTTGCATTTGTTGACTCATAATCTGCTCACAAAAGAACTAGACCCACTGATGGGTACTCAGATATATGTATATATATCTTTAGCTTGTTAAACATACCATACGTGCCTCATTGTAAATTTAAGTCAAATAAATTCTTGGAATCAGGAATGGTACTGAGGCAGATTGATATTCGGAAGTAGGAATAATAGTCATTTCAAAAAAATTAGCACCCAGTGACCTAACTGTAGTGTTTTAACACTGTCCATTGATAGCTCACACTGAATTTCTGTTTAACACGTGAACTTCTTTGAGAAGCTTCTTCATTTTTATTAATTTTTAAAATATTATTTAAATTAGATTTAGGGAACCAAGATGCAGTAGACCTTACATTAACAAGTTCTTTTATATTTAATATGGTAACCTATGTTATCAGCAACCGAAATATTATTAGAAAACTTGAGCATTTTCTGTATAGCTGGTGGTCACGTAACAGTGATCTTACCGTGAAAGATCTGAGGGGCAGTAAGTCGTTGGACAGCCCTGTGGATGCTCTGTCTGTGTCTGCATCTGCATGTCCACCTACCTGAGTCTGCACACACACATTTATGAGAAGAGGTTTACATGGAGAGGGAGGATGTGCGCCCTAACCTGGCAGAAGACCAGGCGGAGCCCACTGAAAGAACCGCATGTGAAATGATGAAGAAAAAATTGGTCTGTCATTGAGATGGTTTTCAGTCTGCTAGTTGGCTCTCCTGCTACATTAAGCATTAATCTTGCTTTTTTAATCTTGGTTTTTTCCCTCACTTGAGTAAAAGGCAAGCATATTCAGTATATCTCATCTAAAATAGTATTCTTTTTTAAATCCTAGAATTTGAAAACTGAGAAAATGCCCTGGTAGTCAGTGTGTTAATTTGAATGATGTAGTGTTAAGGCAGTTGCAGCACTGACAGCTTTTCAAATCTAGGCTAAAATAACAAATGTACTCTACTAAATAAGGGAGAGGGCAAGTAGAGAAAAACCTCTTATCTTTATTGATAATGCCTTTAAGCAGGCAGTGCATTCCTGCTTACAATTTTCATTTTCTTGCTTTTGTCTGATTAGTGGGGCTTTAGGTTTTCTGTCAACTGATACTTTCTGTAAAGAGTAACAATATTTTTAGTAGAAAGGAATACTATTTTACAGATGCTAAAATAGAAAACTTCTTAGAATTTAAAACAATTGCAAAGGAGCCGCCCCTGTTCTAGTGTTAGCAGCCTACATTTAGGATCTATGCAGTAGGTGGTGATAATACGACTACAGTTTAATGCATGATGAATTTGATTGGCTGCATGTTTAAGCTTGCTTCATCATTTGTAATGCAATGTGCTTAAACCCTTCCTGCTACTATTTTGTTAACAAATGAAATATCTTCCTCACAGATATTTTTTCTTTCCAATCAGAATGCTGATTTAAAGAAACAGCTTCATGAGCTCCAAGCCAAAATCACAGCTTTGAGTGAGAAACAGGTAGGGGAACGGGAGGGGGGGGCATATTTTTAACATTGTGTTCTAAAGATATGTCTGCTTGAGACTTCTAGGAGAACTGCTATTTTTCCTCATGTGTGAAAATAAGTGTGGGCAGCCAGACTCAGTTTTAATTTTGTTCGAGCCCTGTTTATCTATTTTTATTTTTGGTTGAAATCATTATCTAGAATATCCCATGGGTACATGTTACTGGCAAATATCTAAGAGCAATGTGGTGAGCTGCTGTTAACTGTGTTAATTAAACTCTGTACTTTACCCATAGGGGAGAGGGGTAAAGAAAGTTACTGGGAGTGTGAGCTGCTGGATGTGCTTTGTTACCTGTCCTAAAGACTTGAGATGACAGCTAACTTGGAGAGAATGGTCGTAAAGAGATTGCTCTCAGTATATGTCTCCCATTGTGATTATTGTGATACCTTTATTTAATCTTTATTAGATATTGACCTACTATTATGTGAAAAGCTTTGGTTGAACCTTGTTAGATTTATTCTGTATAGGGCAAGAGAAGAGCATCTTGCTTTTTTCCAAGGACATCTGGAAAGTATTTTTTGGAATTTCTTGTATAATGACCTCTACTTCACCAGTTCAGTCAGCTCTTGCCACCAGGTGGAGTGTGACAATTGATAGAGCTATACATAATTGTCTGTGGTAGTCTGACAAGTCATTGCTTTCTTATTCCTTCCCCACCACCTTTCCTCTGATTAAAAGGAGTGGTTTTCTATCATGGAGGAGGTGAACATGTAAACCAGAATGATTAGCTGATTTGCAATTGATAGTTAATATTAGTGATATCTCATTGAAGATTTTTGATTGAATAGTTCTCAGTAATTGATTTTTATGTTGTTTTTTAAACTTTAATGAAATAATGGCTGTGAGGATATTTAATTTCTGAAGATTTTTGTGTGTGTTTGTATTGTGTATTATTGTGCTTTTCTCTAAGGGGAGAAATAAATTTTGAGAACTATGTGGAATAGACATGAGTTGTTAATTTTCAGAGTAGACTTTTTCCAAGCTGAGTAAACTACTGTTTTTTTCTCCCTCTTCTGTTCTTAAACTATCACATTTCCCCATTTTGTCTTCTCCAGAGATGGAAGGTGTTTTAGATTAGGGAACTGCCAAACTAAAATTGGGAGGAGGTGGTGTGGTGGAGGAAATTTTTAAGGAAAAATATAAACAGTTTATTAGTACGTGTTTGGCTCTGATAGCCAGTCGGTTCTCTGAAGTCAAAATGATGTGTGTTAGTGAGAGTGTTCGAGCTTTAGAATTCTGTTAGCCATGGTCTTCCTTAGAGTTAGTTTGACAAGATGCCAATGAATGAGTCACTTTTGGTGAAAAATTCACGTGTTCCAGCGGAGAAAAAAGGTGAGAACTGGTTAGTAGAGTAAGGGGTGGGGGGTGCTGTTGCTACATTTGAGGAAAATGGGGCAGTTAAAAACAATTTATATGTTTTTAAAAATTTTTATGTGTGAGCACTGAAATAAAGATTTGTTTTACCTCTGTAACTTTTAATTCTTTATTTTTTTTTCTGTTAGGGATCTTAATAGAAAATTGCAACCATATATGTATCATGTGGCAAACTATCATCTGGACTAAGTTTGGATGTTAGAAACTACAATTTTAAAAAGTGGGTTTAGCATCAGTAAAGTAAAAAAACTGGAGTCAGAAACTGAAATGCAATCTTGCAATTTTATTTGCTTAACTATTAAAATAACCTTTTAAAAAAAGGTTTTATTTATTTATTTTTAGACAAGAGGGGAAGGGAGGGAGAAAGAGAGGGAGAGAAACATCCATGTGTAGTTGCCTTTCATGTGCCCCCTGCTGGGGACCTGGTGCACAACCTGGGCATGTGCAGTGACTAGGAATCAAACCAGTAATCCTTTGGTTTGAAGGCCGGTGACACTCAGTCCTCTGAGCCCATACCAGCCGGGACTAAAATAACCTGTTTGCTAGAACAGAAAATGTATCATTTCTAGGTAGGGTAGTATTTGAAGGAAGCACAGCTATAAAGTTCAAAAGTTGGTCTTTCCTCACACTTATTTCCAACATGAAACATTGATATTTAGTTTAAAATAGTATAATTTTAGGACAAACTCCTCATGCTGAATGCCCAGTTTTGTTTTTCTTTTCTCACAGGATCCACTTAGCCTCTGGGAAAATTTAATGATTTTCCTTCAGATTTTAATAACTAAAATCTGAATTACCTTACTTACATGACTAAAATTTTAATTTAACATAAGCTTTTTGATTGTGAGAAAAATTTTAAATACAAAATAATTCAAAGAATGTCACATTCTGAAATTAACAGTGATGAACCCTTTGTCATTATTTGTTTCCATTCTTTTTCTCTATGTATTTTTCTATAATCATTTTTCTATATCCACTTGAAAACTTAATTATACAAGTAATAGATGCATACATTCTCTTACTTCACTTTATTAAAAAACCAAAATATTGCAGATAGTCATTCTTACAGTAAGTACTTAATTAATTTTTGTTATTGCTGCTGCAATCTTTGATACTCATCAGTTTCTTTCTCAAGATGTTATGACCTCGCATGCTGTATTGGGGAAGATACGGTCTTTAGGGAGCATCCTTCACGGCCCAAACCCAGTGAGTTTTATTGAATTTTTGGTTAGAAAGTTCGAGTGCTTTCAAACTGTAACTTGAGGTTTCTGAATAGAAACTTTCCACAGCAGATTTTGAAGTCAAGTTCTTGACCCACAGGGCCAGGTTGACAGTTTTTAATTTGGGAATCCCAGACTTGATCATCTAATGAAATTATGTAGCCACTAAAAATTAATGGTTTCAAAAATTTTTGATGAGATAGAAAAGTGCTCATGATAAAATAAGTGGAAAAGCACATACAACTTTATATGCATTACGACCCCATTTTTATGTGTGTGTTATAAGTATATATGTATGTGTAAATATGTAAATGTGTATAAAGATAGTATCAGTTTAAAGTGTTGTTGGAAGGTGATGAATTTACTGATAGTTTATTTTTTATATTCTTGTGTATATTTGCTAAATTCCCCACAATAAATATGTTTTCTCTACAATCAGAAATAGAGAAGAAACATTACACAAATTTTAACACCAAACTCTTGTCTGTTCATGGTATATGAACCACTGTAATCAGAGAATCCACCTATTTTAAACACTAGTAATACTGAAGTGTGGAAGCAATTACTAATTTCTTTAATATGGTTTTTCTCATTCTGCACCCCTCCTTCCTTATTTTTCACATGCATGTGTGATCTTTTGCATGTTGGAGTAGGGATTCTGATACTGGAGCCAAAGTACTTGGTTGCTTTCGTGCTCCGCTTTCATTCTAATTCATTGTAGAAGCAATCTAACATCCCAAAGTATGTTGCTTGTCCCCGTGGTGATTAAGGCTTAAGCCATAGTAGTTGCATTTTTCATTCCCCTGCCTTGAACAGTTTGCCACCCGACCTCCCTTCACCTGGTGCTCTCCTGGCCAGGTGTCAGGCAGCAGCTTGAATGTTATTTCCTCAGAGGACCCATCTCTGCAACCCCTTCCCCTGTCAACATCAACTATGTCTGTAATAATCTCTCATTGAACCTTTCATTTTTCCTTTATTGCTGTGCCATTTAGGATTAGGTTCAGCTGTGAATGACTAAAAACTCAAAGTGAAAATGGCTTAAACAAGGTAGAATTTTGTTTCTCCTGTGGAAGCTCTGTAGGTGGACTGTGGCTGGTGATGGTGGCTCCACAGTAGCAGGGACCCCAGGCTCCGCCTGTTCTGTTGCCTTGCCATTCTCAGCAGGAAGCTTCCACATCATAGTCCAAAATAGCTGCTCCATCTGGTAAGAAGTGGGAAAGGCAGCAAAGAGCAAGCCCTTTATTTTTAAGGATGTTTGCTGGAAGTTGTGTGCGCCACTTCCAATTAGATCCCACTGGTCAGAACTTAGTTAACTAGGGACAAGGAGGGTCAGAAGTGTAGTCTGTTCCAGGTGGCCACCAGCAAGTGAAACTCAGGGACTCTGGCACTGAGTAAGAAGGGGGAATAAATACTAGGGATAATTAGTAATTTCTGCCACGATAGCTTATTATAACTTGTCATTACATGTATGTGATTATTTTAAAAAATTTGTGTCTTCCTCACTAGACTGATTTTCAGGAAGTCAGGGGACATGTTTGTCTTACTTACCTTTATTCTGAGTATGGTACTTAGTATAATATTTAGCATAAGATAATATTTAGCACAGAAAAGCATTTGTATTTCTTAAATGAATTATTTAACCCACTTGATCTTTTTCTCTGCTTGTAATTTTTTAAAACAGTGAATCTTGTTTTCTGTGCCTTTTAAATTTGAAGTATGAACATCTTACATTTTTTAATTCTTTAAAAACATGATATTTAATAGCTTCAAATATGTAATGATCTAGCTAGATCATAATTTATTTCACTAATTCTCCTTTAGTTGATAATAGGATGTTTTCCATTTTTTACTAATATAAATATTGCTGTAATAAACACCTTTGTATGTGAATCTGTTTCTTTGTGATTGCATTAGGATAAATTCTTTGGTGTGAGATTACTGGGTGTATTGGTCAACTGTTGCCATACAGTTCAATATAACAAACTCATATTTTATTGAGGGACTTATAACACTGTGTGTTTATTTTCACATTGGGTCTGTAGATCACCTGGAGTTCTCTTGATTTAGGCTGGATCGGCACATCTACTTCAGTTTGTGGGTTGGCTGGCGCTGCCTCCAGGCTGCGGATCGGATTAGATCCACTCCAAATGTGTTCATTCTGAGACCTGGCATGAAGGGATGAAGGGGCAGCAGCTACCTGGGGCACACTCATTTCGTGTGGCTCGTGACCTGAATGCAAGCAACTACCAAAACACATTTTAAGCCTCTGCTGGCATCAAGTCTCTTAACCTCTCATTAACCAAAACAAATCAAATGGCCAAGCCTTAGGTCAAGACAAATGGTGTAGATGTATAATTTTAC